TTATCCAGCGGATATTGGCAATTTGGTCTCTCGTTCCTCTCCCTTTTCTAAACCCAGCTTGAACATCTGGCAGCTCTTGCTCCATGTATTGCTGGAGTCTTCCTTGCAGGATCGTGAGCATTACCTTACTGGCATGAGAAATAAGGGCCACTGTACGGAAGTTTGAGCAGTCTTTCGCATTTCCCTTTTTTGGTATGGGGATATAAGTTGATTTTTTCCAGTCTGATGGCCATTCTTGTGTTTTCCATATTTGCTGGCAAATGGCATGCATCACCTTGACAGCATCATCTTTTAAGATTTTAAACAGTTCAGCTGGGATCCCGTCGTCTCCTGCTGCCTTGTTGTTAGCAATGCTTCTTAAGGCCCATTCAACCTCACTCCTCAGGATGTCTGGTTCTAATTCATTCACCACACCGTGAAAACTATCCTCAATATTATTATCCTTCCTATACAGATCTTCTGTATAGTCTCGCCACCTTCTCTTGATCTCTTCAGCTTCTGTTAGGTCCCTGCCATCTTTGTTTCTTATCATACCAATTTGTTTCTTATCATACATGATAAGAATTTGTTTCTTATCATACATGAGTCTACACTGACCATATACTGATGTTCCAAACTGCATTATATGGCAGTGTATAGATCATGGAATAATGTATACAAAATTCATGTAAAAATGAAATATTTTCAAATGTGAGACAGGACAAAAATATTATTTACTGTCTAAACACATTAAAACCAAGCTAGGTAGCAGCACATGTTGCAAGTCAAAGGCAATCCATGGAAGAAGCAGCCCAGAAGGAGATAAGAAACTTGGAAATAGGGTGAAATCATATTGGAGACTTTAAAAGTGTAAACTTTCTTACGAAAGGAGTTAGCACTTTCCATCTGAACCATCTGAAGGCATATTTGGTTGTGCATTCAGTTGCTCCATATTCATTTGTGCACTCAGATACATTTATATTAATGCCCACTGCATTGCCATTTGACCAAGCATTCAGCAGCACAATCAATGTGCATATTCCCAAATGGCGATATACGTAGCAATTGAAATATAAGATCTTGGATTATATCTCTACCTACAGACACATCTACACTGTAGAATAAATGCAGTTTGACTCCATTTTAACAGGACTCAGTGCTATGGAATTTGGGGAGTTGTAGTTGGGGAGAGAAGGCTAAAGACCTTGGAAAATGACAGTACCCGGGATTCTATAGCATTGAACCCTGGCAGCAGAAGTGGTGTCAAACTGCATTTGTTCTACAGTGTAGATGCACAACGTACCTATGGAAATGTCTGGGTTTATAGAATTAAGAACATAATAAATGAGTGAGCCAGCATGGAAGACTGGGAGATGCTCTGACTTCTCAGGAAACCATTAAAGGATCAGCCTCCTCTGCAAACGAAATACAAAATGGGTGTTTCCCAAAGGTTCTCAGACACTCTTTTAGATAACACTGGAAGCATCATCACCATGTTTTAGCTTACGTGGGCCATTAACAAGACTTGAACATAATCAATTTATTGTGCATTTTCTATTCTTTAAAAGACCAATTCTAGGCTTAAATTGGCCAGCTACCTCTCTGAGGTGAAGATGATAATGATGGTGATGATGACGACAACAACAAGAACAACAAGAACAAGAACAACAACTTTATTTTGTACCCTGCCTCCATCTCCCTGAAGGGACTTGAGTTGGCTTACATATGGCACAAAATGCCTCCAGCCACCCCATCCATCTCCAAGAGGAGATTTTGGAATATTGTGTCCAATTCTGGGCACCACAATTGCAGAGAGATATTGACAAGCTGGAATGTGTCCAGAGGANATACCACTATACTGCGTTTTATTAGTAATATTACATGTAATATAAAATATATAATAATAATTATTATATATTGTATTTGTTCTGTCGCCGCTGGACCTGTATTTGGTTGGCTTAAAATATAGGATGTGTAACCTTTGCCCAGCGGGAAGCCAGGGGCCTAAGAAGAAGTTCTCAGAGGTTTCCACTACAAAAGAATCTTCATATGGCTTGAAAAATACAACAAAGTCTTTTATTAATGAATCAAACAAACAGGTACTTCAAAGCTTTCTTGATAAAGAATTGGTTCTCTCAATCTTGCCCACAGGGGACAGGCACTGTCTTCAATAACTTTCTTTAAAGGAAAATTCCCCTTTTTTAACTTCTCCCAACCCTCACTGGTGTGGGTTCCGCTGCCAGGCCGAACTGCTTCTTGAGCGCTGGGAGGACCTACCAGCAAGGCAATGGATGTTCTCCAGTTGGAGTTCTTTAGACCTTAAGACTGTCTTCCTGGAAACTCTCAAGGCTGTGGGAAGGCTTCCCTGGAGTTCTTAGGAGACTCTTAAAGCTGTTCTCCCCTGGAAATTTTTTCCCTGGAGATTCTGTTGGATTTTCTGTGACCCTGGAATTCTTTCCCTGGAGGTTCTGTTGTAACCCTTGAAATTCTTTCCCTGGAGGTTCTTAAAGGTTGAAGCCTTTGTACAGGGGAAGCTACACACATCCTATACATTGGCTTACCTGGATGAAACTAAAAACAAAATGGCTCACTTCCCTACCAAAGCTCCAAAAGGGGGCGGGACTAGGGAACCTGAGGATAATTGACAAGCAATTGACCCAATAACTGCAAAGTAAGGAGAACCATCTAACGGCAAAGGCATATAATTTCGAAATACATGCAGCAATGAACAAATAGCAAGATAAGCTGGAACTCCTGGCACGGCTGTACCAAAACAGTATTATTAGTATTATGTTACAATATCATGATCAATATTATATGTACTTACAATATATTGTAATTATTAGTGTCTTACAATATTAGTAGTATATTCCACTATACTGCAATATTATTAGCAATATTACATGTAATATATAATATACAAGCATATTGTATTATTAGTATTATATTGTATTACATTATAATATTATCAATATTATATGTATATACAATATAATATATTAGCACAACCCAATATTAGTGTTATATTTTACTATATTGTTGCTGTGGGGAGGGTTTCCCAACTTATGACACAGGAGACATGGCAGAACGCTGTCTTCCTGGCTCCCCTTCTTCACTTTGGCCGCAGAGTGTATAGACTTGAATTTGATGCCAATGGTCCCCTGACTTTCTCAATGAAATACTAGTTATCTTCAGACCCAGGGGTAAGTAGCACATGAGGAGAGAGAAATCTCTGGAGCATCTCATTTCTATTTATTTATTTACAGTATTTATATTCCACCCTTCTGACCCTG